TGATTGACAGGGTTACTCAGATGTCAATAGTAAAGATTTGGTGCAGAGTCCATTTCCTCCGAGGCGGAGTCTATTCATACCTTCCCATTGATTCATTGATCCATTGATTTGCCTGCTAAAAGCTAATGATGTAAGTAAGTGAGTCTTTCGATTTGTGCGCGGCTGTACACCGGAGGCACGCGGGCGTCGTTCCAAAGACAACAGCACATAGATTTCCAGCTGCACGCGCTGGCACAGAGACAAGCGCAAAGCAGATACGGAAACATCTGGATGCTCATCTTTAAGAGTATTTTTCTACCCTTAAACTTGTACAGAAGGTTTTTTTTAAGATGTATTTTTATGCCCATTTTGGCATTTCTTTGACAAATTATTGTGCTGCCTCTGAACTGATTAAGTGTCCAGACTGACAAGTGACCTTGTGGCTAAGCAGAACGAGCCAGACGCTCGGACATCAGTCTGGGTGTATTTTGTGATGACCTGCCCTCTGTTCTCCCTGCAGCTGCTCATCTGTCTGCTACTCTCTCCATTGGCTGCTTTGGCTAACAAAAAACCTGTTCTCTGTTTGCATTTATGTACTTTCTTAAATGTAGTCTGCAAATTACAAACTATTTTTGAAACCAGTGAACGCCACAGAGATAAACAACGTTACTACAAATAATTCGGATGCACCAAATTCATTTTAATAATAATAATAATGATGTGTAATTTGTCCCTGTCAGAGCTTACCTGTGCATCATTTTCCAGTTTTTCTTTAAATGCTTCGTATGAAATGCGATCTGCAGTCTGCTTCTGTAGCCAGGAGTTTAAATCCTTCAGCAGGTTCGTCACTATAGGACGGCCTGGGAAGTACTGCATGAGGAAGAACAAAGCACAACATATTCATGGTTCGCAATACAAACAAGGAAAACATCTCTAATGAGTTCCAGTAAACAGACTAGAAAATGAAGGGCGTTTTTGGGAAGAGTTGCAGGTTTGAATCCGTCGATTCATTACTGGAATAAGAGACTTATCACTCAGGCTGTCGCTGTATACGTAGCTCGAGAACCAGAAATCTCATTTCATGCACGTCACTCACTCTGATTACATTTGTGTTGTTAGACTGCAGCGTAGATTACATTAATGCAATAATGATTCCAGCTGAAATTTAAATGCTTGCACAAAGTTTCTGCAACTAATTTGATTCATGTTATGAGCCAAACATGCAACTTAAACTAGAGCCAGAAAAATCTTAAATGAAACATCTGTTTGTATCCATCACATCCAATTCAGCCTGATTCATTAGAACC